ATCTATCTATCTATCTATCTATCTATCTATCTATCTATCTATCTATCTATCTATCGTTACATACTAACAGAAGCAACCAATAGTGGCATATACAAACATCATCAACATCATCATCATAAACAACAACATCATTAACAAATATATTGATAACAGCAACTACAATAACAACAACAACAACAACAACAACGACAACATCATTAACAACAACAACAACAGCAACACACACTAACGACGAAAGCATCAGCAACAACAACATCATTAACAACAACTTTAACAACAATAACAACAGCAACAACTACAACAACAACTACTTAGACTAACGACGAAAACGTACATGAGCAACGACAACATCCTCCTCATCAACAACAACAGCACGGCCACGATAACAACAATCAGCAGTTTCTGCTTAAAAAGAATTTCCCGTTATTAAATATAAATCGATAAACGTCGGCGGTGGTGAATAAATATTGCACGGACGTGGCAGAAATGTGCGTTCTTCTGGTCTCGGGGGATGGCGAGCAGCGAGTTGGATGCGTAGACTGTATTATATGACCTAATTGTGTTGCAAGTGTCGTAAAACGCTTACCAAAAACAACAAAAAACAACTAAAAACAAAACAAAACAAAACAAAAAAACAAACAAGCAGGCAAAAAATAAGATAAAATGAGTTAAGATAAAATAAAGACTGTATTGCCTTGTAATAATTAATGTCTAATGGTATGTATTTGACGTACTACTGTGTAATGGTGTAAGAGTAGGCTAGTGCACGGTCATTCTGGCAGGATAGTTGTATGTTCTAAATATGTGTTGGTAATTGGTCGCTTTTAAGGACGAGCGGGCTAACCTTGATTTCGGGGGTTTCCAGAAATATTGGACACAAAAGTGGGCATTGCCCTACCTGTAGGACAAGTTTGGTTTCATTGGTGTGTATATTTGTTTTAATTATAGAGAAACCTCTCCTTGTCTTTTGAAGAAACTGAACAAGGGGCAAAAACTTTACCTTCGATTTTTTCAAAACAGTATTTTTTGTATAGCCCCCTTGTGCTTAAAAGCGACCAATTATGTGTCACGATGCTGTGGAATCAGACGCTAGTCAATTTTGGGGTATGTTGAGTTAATGGTACCATCTAAAGATTTTTTTCAGTTGCTTTGCTTTCAATAAAAAAAAATACCCCTTTATCTTGAATAGAAGTCAAGATATTAGCGATTAAAGGAGGCGGGGTCGCGTGGTTTCAGTGACAAAATTTGCGAGAAATTAATGGTCGCTAAAGTTCGGTGACTTCAATAGCTTGAGAGTCCTTTGCAACTAAAAAATTACATTTTCTTCAGTGCTAAGTGTGACGTTCTTATAAGGATGTCATTGTGTTTCCTTTGTGGGCGTTGCAGTGGGGTTGTTTCCTTCTCCTTTTGCCTCAATGTTCATAGGTTTTCCTTCTACGTGTATGTTCCTGACGAGATATGGCCTCTCTCGTACCGTCTCCACTGCATTATGTCTCTGCTCTTTACTTCCTGTGTGGCTTTCTTTCAGTACAATTGGAGACGAATGCTAGGCCAGAGTTTCCGTCTCTTAAACAGCTAGTCCTGCGTTGAAACGAACTTCATATTATTATTATACTCTGTCATAAAGTGTTCGTGCATTCCCCCCCCCCCCTCAATCACACTGCTGTTTGACCGGTGTTGCTGTAGGGGTCATCATATCCCCTCTTTTACGCTGCCTCCTCCTTATTCTCGGTCCCCAATCAGACCACTTCCGTGACTTGCTACGGATGGTCGCGGCTGTCCAACTGTATTCCGTCCAGCCTCTTTTCTGTCCACTTACGGAACCCTGGAACCCTTAGGGTTGGGGTTCTTTTGTTGGTCTTTGAGGGGGTGGGGGTGGGGGTTCGTTTGTTTTTGTTATAAATCTTTGTTGTCTTCGCTTTGTGCCAGCACTGAATGACCATTGTTGTGTCGTCGATGTGCTACCGTTTATCTCAAAATGTCCACCATTCATGACCTGTCATTGTGTGCCTCTCCTCCTCCTCCTCCTCCGCTTCCCTCCCTCCCTCCCTCCCTCTCCCCTGTTGCCTCTCCTCCTCCAGGTATGGAGCCAGGGCAGAGGCCGCCCTCGTTCCCGTGTGCCGTTCCGCCCAAGGACGGCCTCCGAGACAGCTGCGCAGAGGCACAGGGTCTGTAAATCATTTCTTCACCTTATCATGTCATTGTTTGTTTTCCTCTGTGGTGTTGTAGTGTTTACTCTCTCCGTCTCCACCTCCGGATCCATCTCTGCATAGCACTCAAAGGTGTTGTCTTTGATTCCTGCATGGAGAAAGATATTTTATGGAGAATCTCTCGTCCTTTTTTTTTCTTTCTTTTTTTTTTTGGTTGTTGTTTATGCATGTCGCACTCACAATGGGTACGCTCTTGCAAGCACGGTAGAAGAAACAGCCTGCTCTCTAAATGATCTGAGTTATGTGGATTGGGGCTTAAGACATTTTGTTTGAAGGAAGTAAAAATTAAGGGCCTGTTTGTAGTATGTTGTCCCCTTCATTGAAGGGGCTAGATAAGGAATATGAACATAAAACTTTAGAATATTATTATGTTTATAATAATACATGTATGTGTAAAGTTTCATTTGAGGTTGGGCATATAACCTGAGTTGCTCTTTATTCCGCATGATATACACTTTAATGAGCTCCGAACTTAGTCTTTAGGTAGATTTAGTTCCAATTGTTGACTGTGTTCTGATTTTGTACAAATCCCGAGGCATGTAACTGACTATCTGTCAGACTACTCAGACGAACACCGCAGGTGCTAGAGAAAAAGGACTAGCCAATGACAGGTCAGATTACAAAATCGTGTCAATCTTCTCCCGTCTGATTTGCTTGTTTGCTCGTCGAGTGCGGTCGGCCGAAAAGGTCACGTGACTGTGAGGGCAGGGTGTGACCATCTCGTCTGCTGCGATCGTGTCCTCGAGTGCCACCGACTCTGTCACCCTACCAGGCTGTGCCAACGTAAAGCCCTCGCTGACTTGTTTATGCCGGTTGGAGCTCGCCAGTTTTAATTGCTGTTTCCATCCGTCCATCCATCCACCCCCTTTTCTGAGGGATTCTGAAATAGTTTACGGACACCCCACCCACCCCTCGCAGTATGTTTCTGCTCTTCTCTTCTCCTACATACCTGCCTGCCTACCCACCTGAAGGCAAAGACGAGTGTACGTAGTCTCCGATGTGGTCGTCTCATTTTGTCTCTGTCTGTCTCTGTCTGTGTCTGTGTCTCTGTCTGTCTTTCTCTCTCTCTCTCTCTCTCTCTCTCTTTCTCTCTCTCTCTCTGTCTGTCTGTCTGTCTGT